CTAATGATGTGACCTCGTTAATCAAATAACAACTCTTTGTTCATGGTTAGGAAACATAACCATCTTTGATTAACGAGCTAGTCAAGTAGAGGCATACTAGTGACACTCTGTTTGTCTATGTATTCACACATGTATTATGTTTCCGGTTAATACAATTCTAGCATGAATAATAAACATTTATCATGATATAAGAAAATAAATAATAACTTTATTATTGCCTCTAGGGCATATTTCCTTCATGAAGAGCTCCAAAAAGCCGAATCCTCCTCCTGGTCGCCTCGGGCCTCCTTTTATAGAAAAAGGGGTTGCCACAGTGGCACACAGGAGGTGGAAAGGGTACAGTGATGCGAGGTTATCCCTCGCATTACATGACAAGGCGCATTTAATGCGTCTTGCTTAGGTTTCCTTGCTTTATCGGGGGCGGGGGAGAGATCTGTCTTGTCCGTCGCTGCTCCTTCTTGTGTCGACACGCGCCCTGGCCAGCGATGCCTGAGATGCCATGTAGGTAGGTAGGCAGCTGAGGTGGCGCAGCGGTGGGTCTCCATGAAGATCTGCATGCCGCCACGCAGGTGCCTGCCCAGCTGGTTGGGTCGGCAGCTGCATGCGAACGGCGGTGGAGGTTTGGTTGGCGTGGGCCTGATGGTGGCCCTGCGGATGCCCTTGGCAAGGGCCTTGCTGGGGTCCCGGCAAGGGTCTTGCCGGGGTGCCTGCTGTCATCCCCGGCAAGGCGCTTGTCGGGGGCCTTGTGGTCTTCCTTGGCTGGGATCCCGCCAAGGGTCGTCATCTTCTATAGCGCGTATCTGATCTTGAATGTCTTCACAAAGATCTGCATGCCACCACGGGGATGTCTCCCGAATCCTTGCCCCATGGGGGCAGTGGACTCAAGGGTGACTTGCTCCGTAGGTGTGGGGCGAGTTGTCGCGGCAAGGGTCTTGCCGGGGTTGCTAGAACTGTTTCCCGGCAAGGATCTTGCCGGGGGAGTCCGCTTCGTCCCCTTTGCTCTTTGTGGTCTTGGCCTTGGAGTCGTTCTAGTTCTCTTGAGCTTCGGTCTTACCTTGGCTCACCTCCCTTGCCTTGCTTGGTGTGGTGATGCCCGTGGCTCAGACTGCCCGTGCACAGTTATAGGGGTACAAAAAAGTGTACCCCTCTTTTTGTACACCGACAGGAGCCCTAGGCCTGGGCCACACATAAGCGCAACGCGTTGTTGGGCCAGGCCCAAAAATGGTGCGCGGGCAGGCGGGGCGGTTTTTACCGCGGTAAGATTCTTCGCGCGCTGCGCTTCCCATGACTCCCGCGCATGGCACGGCGTGGGGAGGCGTGTGTGACGTGGGCGGCATGCGTGAGGTTGAGCTCTGCGCGCATGCGTCACGTCGTAGTAAGGGGACGGTTCGCGCCTTCCCCATAAACGGAGGGAGGCATGGAGGCGCGGCCCATTTACTGAATGGGGCCGAGGCGCGGTCTTTAAGGCGTCCACTCCCCACGATCACGGGATGGTGAGAGGTCGCCTCACCCGTCCCCTCGGTTCTGCACGTCCGCCACATGTCTTCCATGCGCTTGGGGTGGCAAACGGTGGAGGCGGGAAACCGGGCCGCCGCAGGCTGGGGCAGCGGGTCGGTCCCGGTTCCCTGCGCCTTCCGCGTCTTTATTGGCAGAGCGGGGCGGCTGAGCCCCAACCCCGTTCCTTTATAAAGAGCGGGAGGGGGGATGGAGTCCCGCATTCTTACATCTTGGCGGACAACGATGAACTCATCCTCGTGTATCCAGTTACCATGGTCTGGCCACCTGTCTTTTCTCCACATCAAGCAAGCACAATAAAATTCAGGAACCTAGGAGAAGCAGAGCAAAGTTTCACGATGGTTCATAGGGACTAGGCTTATTAGTACATGGGCCTTTTTTTGCAGTTTGCTAGATGTAAAATAAAACTAGAACTCAGACCTCATTTGTGCATTTTATTTCCTTCTGCATTTTCATTGAAGGTTCGCTGTTTGTCTACTTCATGTCATGGAACTCTATCTTCATTGAAGAGTTGTTGAATTTGGGTTCAATTTCAATGACCATAGGTTCTGTTGTTATACTACTACTACATTCACATGTTACTGTTAATGGTTGGATACGATCTACAACTCTGGCATCCATTGTACTCCCTCCCTTCCGAATTACTTGTCGTAGGTATGGATATATTTAGATGTATTTTAGTTCTAGATACATCCATTTCTGCGACAAGTAATTTGGAACGGAGGGAGTACATATTTGGAAGGAAAAGAGAGTATTTCAAATACATAAAGGGTATAATTGACATTTAACACTCATTCTTGTTGTAAAAATAGTTCGAATTGATGAAGAGAGGCAGGCATTTCAACACTTGTGCCCAAGTACCATTTTACACTGGAAAAGGACTTGTAAGGTTGAGCAACAATGATGATAATTATTATTAAAAATCCAAAAAAAAAGTTAACCAACTGCAGCATGTATGATAAGCATATTTTCATTCTCTTATTGGATTATGAGTGTGTGGTGCAATTGATTTTGACACACGAAGCACTGCATGACACTAGCTAGCTAATCTTCCTGCACGGCGGCAGCGGCTTGCCGCACAGGCACAGGTTGTGCGCGTACGCCGCCGCCGGGAACCGGTTGAACGGCGGGGCCTGCGGTATCTGCCCGCACAGCTTGTTCCCTCTGAAGCTCGCGTGCCGGACGCCCGCCATCCTACTGAAGTTGTCCGGTATCCTCCCGACGATGGCGTTGCGGGAGAGGTCCAGCCACTCCAAGCTCGCCATGGCCGCCATGGTTGCGGGAATGACGCCCCCGATTCTGTTCCGTGAGATGTCCAGCCTCTCTAGGCCATGCAGCTTCGAGATCGAGCTCGGTATCTGGCCACCGATGGCGTTCCTCGACACGTCGAGACACTTCAGGCTCCCGCCGCCGTCCAAGTCGGGCAGCGCGCCGGTGAGCATGTTCTTGGACAGGTCGAGGCGCCACAGCTTCTGCAGGCCGAACAGTGACTTCGGAATGGGGCCTACGAGCAGGTTGTCGTCGAGGGCGAGAGAGCTCAGAGACCCGAGCAGGTTGCCGATCTGCGGTGGAATCCTGCCGGTGATCTTGTTGCGGCTCAGCGACAGGTCGGCAAGGTGCCGCAGGTCGCCGAGCGACGCCGGCATCTCGCCGGAGAAGCTGTTGTTGCTCAAGTCAAGCAGCGCCAGGCTCTTGAACCGCCCTACAAATTCCGGGACGACGCCTGACAAAAGGTTGCCGCTCAGGTCGAGGTACGCCAAGCTGGACAGGTTCCCGTAGCTCGACGGGATCGCCCCCGTGAGGCGGTTCCCGGCGAGGTTGATCTGCTCGAGACCGCGAACGCCCCCGAGCTCCGGCGGTAGCGGGCCCTCCAGCCGGTTGCCGGCGAGCGACAGGTAGCGGAGGGAGCTCATCTTCGACAGCACCTTCCCCGGGACGCCGCCGGCGAGCGCGTTGCCCTCGAGGTAGAGCTGCTGGAGGCGCGTGAGCCGGGAGATGGCGTCCGGAACGGCGCCTCCGATTCGCCCCATGTCGCGGATCACGAGGGACTCCAGGAACTCGAGGCCGCCGAGGGAGGGAGAGATGGTGCCGTTCATGTGCCGCCCCGGCTGCGACTCCAGGCGCAGCGACACGACCCTCCCGGTGGCGGCGTCACAGGCCACGCCCTCCCACCCGCCGCCGCAGCAGTCGTCGCCGGCCCACGTGGTCAGGATGCTCGTCGTGTCCACGGTGATGCCGGCCTTGAAGCCCAGAAGCGCGGCACGATCGGCGGGCGAGCACAGTGGGGTCGGCTTGTCGTCGCCGTCACCGCTGCCCGTGCCGGCGGCCGCGTGGCCGGACAGCGTGGCGGCGGTGGCGAGCAGGAGAAGCAGAGCACGAAGCATTGTCCTTGCTCAAGTACAAGTTGTAATGGTGATAGACGTAATGTGTGCACAATGTATTTGTAGCTGGAGCTGGTGGTGCAATGCATGGGAAGGGAGCCTCGTATGCATTTACTTTGTTCATGCGTTGGGCCTCTGCATGGAGCCTGGCACAAGCCACTCCGGTGCATGAACGGAACGTTTGAATTGGCGCCTTTGGGAGCGCGACGGCTCACATGCGTGAGACTCCTATAGTAACTGTAGCTAATTTGCACTACAAGGAATGTGAATCTGCAAGTTCTGAAAGAAGAATGAGAATATCGTGCTGTGCAAAATATCTGGGAAGATCCCTGGAAAAACCCTCCGCCGTTTCAAAATGTTTGAAGCTCTCTGTTTGTTAAGTGAAATATCTTCAAGTTTGACCAAACATCTACAACACCAAATTAGTTTTATCAGATTCATTCTACAACGTACTTAAGCATTGTATATATTTCATGCTGTAAATATTAAATATTTTTTATGTACATGGTCAGGCTTACGAATTTTGACCTAGGGCAAACCTAAGACTTCAAAACATTTGGAACAAAGGTAATATATCTCAGAAGAATACATTACAGCCACCCGAGCTAGGTACTGCTAATGAAAAACATTTCAGCAAACTGAGTAATGAAATTGCTCTCTTGTTCCGCAATTGCGAGATAATTCACCACTCTCCACCGTTTTCCATATGATATTCTCCCTAAATCCAGATTGCAAGATTCAAGCAACAGACAATTCCATAGCTGAACAACGCATAATGGCCTCGAAATGGTTTTCAACTGTGTAGTTCGGGCCACTGACAAGATACGTTGCCTCGTTAGCATTAACAAGGCGTAACCTTACTGGAGCCAACAGGTGCTAGAACACACTATCAATAAATAAAGAACAGGTGGTACAACACGACCAGCTAAACGTACTAGGCAACAAAAATTCATCCAGGTGTGCTTCTTAGGTGTGTAGCTCGGGCACAGAAACTCCGCAGGGCATCCCTTCGCCCATCGCAGCAAGTTATCGAGCCCCCCCTAAACATTACCACTATTGCCAAACGCAAACCTTAAGACAATAATTAATGCAGACCATACAGGATCAGTCCAGCGGCGCATTCTCTTTGATCACCGCTGACAAGTTTGTAGCCGCCTCTTCGTTTTTCAGTCGGAGTAAGTATGTTCGAGCTACAACATTGCCACCATCTGATTCAGACTGCGCATCCTGTGAAAATACAGCACGGATCAGAGTCATACTGGGTGACATATGCGCTGCACATATAGCACGATGGTACTTACTGAAGTGTGAAATATCGAGGCAACCGTGTTCTTTTGAACACTCATTTTTATCCCCTTGTAGATCATAGCATTCAGAAGAATCTTGCCGACCTGCTACCAGAAATCAGTCATTAATATTTTGTTCGCAACCAGAAATAATCTGACAGCAGTATAACAGATAGCAAAAGGGGAAAGGGCGATTTCAGACAAACTGCCAGCCAAGATGATAGAAATATCCAAGGAAAAAAAATCTACAGCACTAAATACTGTATGAAACCCAGGACAAATGAATCTGTTCTACATTTTAGAAACAGAGAAGTTCAGCAAACACACCAATAGTAAAACAATTACTGGAATGGAATACTTTGCAAAACTATATGAGATGCAGGCATTTCACGTTTGAGATGCAACTGAAGACAAATGAACTTGGATTAGTATATGTCAGCAGAAAAGGAAGAGCACATACATCATTTCTGATAACAACTGTTGGGGTGGACTCTTTCGAAGCTTTCTCTGCACCCTCTTTACATCTGATAGAGAGCTGACCAACACCAATGTCTTTCCAACCCTTGGTAGCATCATCGTGCTACATGAATGGAAAAAGAAGTTGTGAAATCACATGCTAAGCATATTTTGCAGAACACTTGAATAGTAGCACTGGGGAACATAAGTTATAAATCTATGAACAAAAGTACAATGCTAAACAGGGAAGAGTGGAAATGATACCTTCACATACACCTTGCATTTGGCTTCATGAACAACAACTATTCCTTTCTCTTCTGCTTTCTTTACAGAAGGGCTGCTTGGTTGCTCGGCTTCAGCATCTGACCATTCAAACAAGAGTAGAATTAAGTATTAAGGAGCGCGTCCAGTGATAGGGGTTCAAACAAGAGTAGAATTAAGTATAGAGGAGCGAGTCCAGTGATAGGGGTTGGCCACAAAATAACCTAGCTTAAGTAAAACAGTTCCTGATATCAAAGAGACAAGAAAAATTCACCCATACACCCCTGTCCGTGCGTGCGCTCAAGTCAATTATTACTAAAGTTTATGTTACACCATCATCTATTAAAAAACAGTATAGGTACCCCTCAGTATAAACCACCGTTGTTTTTTTGCTGGCATGGAATCCTACGAGAGAATACACGTCAGTATGATATCTAAATTAGCAGTAAATAGTCAGGTTAGCATCTTGAGTGGCGGGGCCTGGAACTCACTGGCTGGTGGACACTCAGCTTTGAAACCTTCAACCACTACCCCACAGTACACTCCTGCCTCCAGCCTGTGCTATGCAACAGCAGTGCTCGACATATTGTGCAACACTACCTCATCCGCTGCTCATACTCCACCCAGGCGGAAAAAAACGAAAAGCAGCTGCAATGTCGAACATGTCGGCCTCAACACCTCACAAGTCAACCTTGGAAGATGATTAATGCAGTAGGAATATAAAACGGCTCACTGGCAGCGTTAGACATATGAAGTAGACTATAATTTAATTTTGGGATGGACTCAATTTTTGCTTTAAGAGTCATGATCTCCTAGAATGTGACAATGGGGCAAGATAACCAAGCCATTAGATCAATCAAGACAAAAAATTCGCACTCTTGAATGATAAACTGCATCTTGTAATGAAATCTTGAGCATTCCGTGAGAGACAGTGGGTGGGGGGGATTGGGGATGATACAGTGATGTGGTACAATTAGCTGATGTGGGAGATGCTTTTTGCCACTGTGGAAATGTTAGATGGTGCCTGCAGCCAGCAGGCGAAAACCACCTACAAGATGCCATTGAGGGTTGACTTATACAGCAAGGGTGTTCCTTACACGGTTGTATAGCTGAGGGTGTACACTGAATTGTCATAACACGGGTGGAGCGGCAAATTAGACTTTCCCATAACTTAACAAATTGGTAGATACACACCTTCATCCGCATCAGCTGAAGCTTCAGCAGCTTTGTTGTTTCCTGATCCTGAAAAACAACAATAAGAAAATTTGATTATTCCATCGACCTAGAGGACTCGTAATACAAAATCAATTAAGTTCCTACAACACCGTCAATAGAATGATCAAATTGCCTTTTCATCATCAGAGTTTCACGTGCCTGTGTGTTAGGCAAAACCAAGGAATGCATCAAGCCAATTACATGTTTTTCTTTTCTGAACTGCGTAGGAAATGGTATATTGGGTCAAATGTAAACAGAAACATGGTTAACTTTGGGGCACTTGATAAATAATATTGATTAATATTAGCTCTGATATGGATTTGTTTGTCAATTGCCATTACACAAAATAGGATATGATGTTTCCATGGGGCAGAACATACATGTTTGGCAAGGATAGAACTGGTTGACTACGAAATAAATAGGGAAACACAAACAAACATGGCCCAGTAGGATTTGGTTGGGTTGACGATACATCAATCATACAACCATAGTGCTAAAATGACAATAGACCATTACAATACAAAGCTTTGCCATTCCCATTCAAATATTGTGGACAGGCCTCATTCAAATAAATGCCACAAATACAATTATGTGAAATATACACGTGAACCAACCAATCATAAAGGACGCACTAATGCCAAGAAAAAGAGAAGTAAAATACCAGTGAAAATTGGTTGCTGGTTCATTGAAAACAGTGTTGAGGTTGGCATGTTAAAACTGGAACCAGGGGTAGAAAAAATGGACGGAGTAGTTGGTGTTGAAAAGCCGTTATTTCCACCAAACTGGAAAGTCGATTTGCTGCTATCACCAGGCGTGTTAGTTGGTGTTGAAAAGGCGTTATTTCCACCAAACTGGAAAGTCGATTTGCTGCTGTCGCCAGGAGTGTCCTTGTTATCAAATATGCCTGCACATCATTATGACACAATCAACATAATAAATATATAACTACCAAGTCTGCAAAAAAATACAACAAGCAAAATACAATATGGCATATAAAGGTATAAACTGGTGAATAGTTATACCGCCAAAAGGTGCCGTTTTCTTCTGAGAAGGGAGTGAGAACATATTCGGTGAGCTTGAGTTCTGAAAAGCTAGGGAGCTGGCTCCTGTAGTTGGACTCTTCTGTCCATTATCTGATCCTGGCTGTACCATAAACTTGCTATTGACAGTTGCCGGCATAGTAGTCTTCTCCTCATTGGCTGGACTTGGGGATGAAACAGCTGTTGTACCTGATTTATTCTGCCTAAGCCAATTGACAACATCCTTGAAATTTTCCTAAGGGGAGAGAATAACATGAGATCAAGACATTATGACTTTAAGAGAAATCTGACTGACTGCTGACATAACATCTGAAGTGCCAAAATACCATCTAAGCAGAAACCAATAGGTGACGAGTTCAAAAGTAGTATGTGCTGGCAAAACAATACTCCATCCAGTTCACGAAAAAGTGACGTTTGGATATTGGCAGTCTTCAAATATAGCTTTGATCAATAATTCAAATTCTGAAAATAGTTCTTTACACAAATCCATGCATATGATTTTCAAGTTTCCAGTCTAAATATTAAAAACAACATAGAAGGTCAAAGTTTTCAGAGTTTTGACTCAAGACATGTCCAAAACGTCACCTTTTTGTGAACAGGAGGGGGTAATCAATTACAATTTACAAATAGTTTTTTATTGCATGGAAAGTTGCATAGGATAGTAATCGGATGGTCTGCTAATCATATTTATCAGTAACACACTTGAAAAGATGACAACTGACTTATTAGTTACACACTCGAGAAGCTGTAACCTGGCTCTGATACCAGATCGTTAGAGCCTTTAGATCAAAGGACGTAGCCATGAGAGGCAGGAACTTAGGCCGACGAGCACTTGAAAGGTAGGCACCGTTGAGGGCACAATAGGCAGCAAGGAAAGAGAAGAGTTTAGGGACAAGACTAACCTTACTGATAACTTGAGATTGACATACAGCCTATATAGCTCCTTATACATTGGAGTTGGAGAGTCCAACTCAAAGCAACGGAACGGAAACCTACAGAACTCTAAATGAAAACAAGGGCATATGGTAGTTTGATATTCATACTCATAACATGGTTCATCTTCACATTGTTGTCTGTTTGTGAACACTGTTGATATCTATTTGTTCAAAAATTCCTAGTTATTTTAAACTAGTCCTAGCAACTCAGGAAGTAAATTATACTCTGTATGCTGGAATACTAACATCCACAAATCCACTACATATGCACGCCACACAGAAAACAAAGCAAATTGTGATAGTGATACATTTTATCAATGGCCACAGGAAAATATTAAATCTCTAGTTAAGGACTGTTAAATAAAGAGAACACCTTACAAGCTTGTGAAGCTTACCATTATTTCAGAAGCATGGGATAAGTAATCTTTCACGCCATCCTCCCAAAGTTCAGCTGGATGGTTTTGCAACTGCGATTGCACCCAGCTGCTCAAAATAAACAGGTAGATGAGTGCTTACTCACTTCACACCAGAGGGAATATGCAGCATGAATGCTTAAAATGTACTTTAAAAAAATTGTATTCAAGGATCTCTAAAAATATGGTAGTAACTAAATATTCTTTATGGGATGACTGAGAGGACTAGATATTCAGAAAGGACTTCAGCTAGAGCTGAAACAATAAACATGATAGGACAATGTACGCCACAAAATTTCAAATCAAGTGACTGAGATGCCGCGAGGCAAGCTCGCAGATGAAGAAGTGTCCAACCTTGCAAACTGGGTATTTAGTGCCCTCACGTGCCTGTTGGCGGCCTCGGCCCGTCGGGGGTCTAGAGTAGCGGCTCCTGTATGGGGAGACTCTGCCCTGTGGACGTCCATTGCTCTCTTCCTTGACAGCTGCAAAAAAATGTGCAACGAATTAACAGAGGCAGATTCTACAGCAAGAAAAATCAACAGAAATATCTAAGATACAATCTTGTTAGAGACCGCGGAAGTAGAGCTACAAGCTCGCACCGAAACAATCGTAAAGGGGAAATTTTTACTGTGCAGCAACTGCACTTGGTGTGGGATTGTTGGCAATAAACAGTAGAGCGTCTGCAGTAGCGCGATGCATAGGTGATGCGCGTTCAGTTACCAGCGTTTGAGGCCGAGAGCTGCCACTAGGGGCGGATCTAGACGGTGCGCCGGACCGGGCGTGCGGCGGCGCGCCCGCCCAGGCCAGAAGTTGCGAAGGTGCGGTTGGGATTTAACCAATCGCCGGAGAAGAGCAACGGCGTACCTCGGAAGTGGGCGAAGGCTGTGGGCAGGAGCGCGGGACGACGGCCGGGGACGGCGGCGGGGGCGGCCCGCGAGGGACGGGGTGCTGGGAGCCGGAGGGGGAGGGTGGTCGGAGAGAGCGAGAAAGCGGTGCGGGGAAGAGCGGGGACGGCGGGCGGGCGGCGGCGCGCGAGAGGCGGGCGGGGGTGGGAGCCGGCGGGGGGGAGGGGGGAGGCGTCGGCGGCGAGGCAAGTAGGGTCTGGCTGGGAGGAAGAGAAGAGAAAGGTGTGGAAGGGAAGGGAAGGGAAGGAGGCCCGCTCTCTCAGCGCTGCCGATAATGGGCCTGTCACAGGCCGGTCCGTTTAGCGCACGTGATTCGTTTTATTTTTGAAAATAATAATAGAATATACATGTACAAATATCGACTTTTACAAAAAACAACAGAATTTCGTTAGATAACAGACATGTCGTTGCGAATCAACCTGTGGTTGAGTTGGTTAGGTGGACAGTGATATCCCCAACCCACCAGGGTTCAAATCCTGGTGCTCGCATTATTCTTGGATTTATTTCAGGATTTCCGGCGATGCGCTTTCAGTGGGAGGAGACGTTCCCGTCGACGACGAGGCGCCTACGGTGACTTCGTAAATCTCAAGATGATATGCCGGCTCAGTCTCTCGAAGGTGCTCATAGGGGTAGGGTATGCGTGTATGCGTTCATAGGGGTGAGTGTATGCGCGTGTATATGAGCGCTTGTGTCTGTACTGATGCTCAAAAAGAAAACAGACATGTCGTTTGTTTGAGAAATTAAATCAGGGATTATAGACCCAAAACATAGAAGATTTTTCACTAAATGAGTTCTTTGCTAGGTTGTGAGCCACTTCATTTGCTGCATGGCAACCCTTTGTATATGAGACACTCCCAAAGTCCAGCGCAAAATGTTTGCACTCGAGTACCATTGCAACATCTGAGGCCACATATGTTTTCTGGTTGCTGCACTGCTTCCACCACAAAGCTACAACCTGACTCAATGATCACTTTGTTACATCCAACTCTCAGCCATTTCGGATCGCTGTCATCTCAGCTGAGTCAACGCTTGTCACCTAAGGAACGAACCATGTTGCCGCAGCAATGAAGTTCCCTCTTCCATCACAGGCCATAGCACCTGTTGCACCTGAGAGTGTTTCAACACGGGAAGCAGCACCAACATTGATTTTGACCGCATCCCTAGTTGACCTTTTCCACATATGATCATGGTTTTCTTGTAGGCTAACTCGTCATATAACTTTGAGTATAATTTGTTGCTAGAACTTTTATGGAAATCGCGGCTCTTTCAAGGTTTTGAATTGGCTCTACTTTGATATGTTGACGACGTTGCCACCATAGGTACCAGACTGCTACCATCATAAGTTCCACGGTCGGCAGTCCATCCGTGACTGAGTTTATCCTGCTTAGGATCTCAACAGTAATAGAGCCTGATCGTTACTACCTTATCGCTTCTGCAACAATGTTCTGCACCAATAATGTTGGAAATATGACCAATTTCTCCAATGATTTTATTAACAGAAATACTAGACAAAGCATGACTAATATAACAGTGATAAAGCAAGTCATGCGATTTGACAAAGAGAAGGTAAATAGCGACTTCACATATGAACTGTAACTAAACACATCTAGATCAGACAGTATAGCAAGTTGCATATATGAAGTAGAACCTAACACATGTAGGGCAGAAACTAGAGCAAAGAACTGTGGCAGGACATCTAGCAGAAAGAGCATAAATACGTACGGGACAGCAGCAGCAGAAGCACTGGAGTTGGGGTGGACGTCCTCTCCAGCCATGTCGTCGATGTCAGGGAAGAAGTCGTCGTCGAGGAAGTAGTCGTCGGAGTCCGTGATGAAGGAGTCAGTAGTCGCGCGGAGCGCTCCCTAAAAACCTTATCACCCTTCTCCCGTACAGGACTCAAAGAGGTGCGGTTTCGGAGGCCTACTGTCCCGACCTGCGGTGCACGCCGCAAGCTGGGATGGGGAAGACCGTAGTAGCAGCGCAGTGCTCAGGAACTTGTGGCGAAAGGAGGAAGAGATTCTGGTGCGTCTCTCTGAGAGGAGCGACCTCTTTTTTATAGGCGCAAGAGAAGGAGGCGAGAGGCTGCGCCGGGAGCTGAAGGGAACGCGGGAGATGAAACGAACAGTCAGCAGCCGAAGGGTGCAGCGTTCGTATTCAATATCCACTACAGCAAAAACTTCCCAGCTCTCAAGTGACCTTTCGTATACCCGTAGTACGTGGCAAAAATTTAGATATCGGCTCGTTCCCGCAACCAGCGTCGCGTCGCGTCGTGGCGTGGCGAGGCGTGGCGTGGCGTGGCATGGCGAGGCGGGCGGCGGAGGAGGAGCGCGCGTGGATGTCCCTCTTGTTCTCATGCTCGTACAAGTGGGGAAAGAACCTCCCTTATAAGGAGGTCCAACTCCCACTAAACTAGCAATGTGGGACTAAACTTTAGTAGTATCCCTTGCCTTGCACAAATGGGCTAAGTGGGCCTCTAGGATTTATTAGGAATTTCTGAAATAGTTATTGGGCTGCCCAAAATAGACTAAATTCCAGCAATCCCCCACCAGATCCCAGAGGCACACAGAAATTTGCCTTTGGTTCCAAAACACTGTTTTATATACCGGTACTGCAGTGGAGACTGTTAAGTTGAACTTCCACCTAGAACTCTATGCTACACTAGTAAGCAACTTGAACAGTGGACTGGGCCTTGAACTGCAAGTTTTCTGCGAATCTAGCTTCACATAAAGCCTTGACCGATATGTGGCTACCATGGGTCTTCCCCGCGGGTGGAGCTTATGCGTCATACTCCGTGACCTTTCATGAGTTTACTAGAGAGAACCCTACTCTCATAAATTGCGACGTTTAACAATCAGACTCATATAGGTGTGTTCTTCAAAAGATGTTCTGCAGGATAACATCTCTGCTTAAGTAAGCCACTTAGAACACATTAAGATACACATCAACCTGCCATGCAGATTAGGAGAGTATTGCATCTTCATGGTGAAGGAAATATGCCCTAGAGGCAATAATAAAGTTATTATTTATTTCCTTATATCATGATAAATGTTTATTATTCATGCTAGAATTGTATTAACCGGAAACATAATACATGTGTGAATACATAGACCAACAGAGTGTCACTAGTATGCCTCTACTTGACTAGCTCGTTAATCAAAGATGGTTATGTTTCCTAACCATGAACAAAGAGTTGTTATTTGATTAACGAGGTTACATCATTAGTAGAATGATCTGATTGACATGACCCATTCCATTAGCTTAGCACCCGATCGTTTAGTATGTTGCTATTGCTTTCTTCATGACTTATACATGTTCCTATAACTATGAGATTATGCAACTCCCGTTTACCGGAGGAACACTTTGGGTACTACCAAACGTCACAACGTAACTGGGTGATTATAAAGGAGTACTACAGGTGTCTCCAATGGTAGATGTTGGGTTGGCGTATTTCGAGATTAGGGTTTGTCACTCCGATTGTCGGAGAGGTATCTCTGGGCCCTCTCGGTAATGCACATCACATAAGCCTTGCAAGCACTGCAACTAATATGTTAGTTGTGAGATGATGTATTACGGAACGAGTAAAGAGACTTGCCGGTAACAAGATTGAACTAGGTATTGGATACCGACGATCGAATCTCGGGCAAGTAACATACCGATGACAAAGGGAACAACGTATGTTGTTATGCGGTCTGACCGATAAAGATCTTCGTAGAATATGTAGGAGCCAATATGGGCATCCAGGTCCCGCTATTGGTTATTGACCGGAGACGTGTCTCGGTCATGTCTACATTGTTCTCGAACCGTAGGGTCCGCACGCTTAAGGTTTCGATGATAGTTGTATTATGAGTTTATGCATTTTGATGTACCGAAGGTTGTTCGGAGTCCCGGATGTGATCACGGACATGACGAGGAGTCTCGAAATGGTCGAGACGTAAAGATTGATATATTGGAAGCCTATGTTTGGACATCGGAAGTGTTCCGGGTGAAATCGGGATTTTACCGGAATACCGGGAGGGTTACCGGAACCCCCCGGGAGCCAAATGGGCCAACATGGGCCTTAGTGGAAAGGTGAGAGGGCAGCCCACATAGGGCTGCGCCTCCCCCCCTCTCCCTAGTCCTATTAGGACTAGGAGAGGGGCCGGCCACCTCTCTCTCTCTTCCCTTTAAGGATTCCTAGTTGGACTAGGATTGGAGGGGGGAGTCCTACTCCCGGTAGGAGTAGGACTCCTCCTGCGCCTCCCTCCTTTGGCCGGCCAGCTCCCCCTCCTCCAACCTTTATATACGGGGGCAGGGCGCACCCCAACACACACTAGTTGATCCTTGAGATCGTTCCTTAGCCGTGTGCGGTGCCCCCTGCCACCAAATTCCACCTCGATCATACCGTTGCAGTGCTTAGGCGAAGCCCTGCGTCGGTAGTACATCAAGATCGTCACCACGCCGTCGTGCTGACGGAACTCCTCCCCGAAGCTTTGCTAGATCGGAGCCCGGGGATCGTCATCGAGCTGAACGTGTGCTAAGAACTCGGAGGTGCCGGAGTAACGGTGCTTGGATCGGTCGGATCGGGAAAAAGACGTACGACTACTTCCTCTACGTTGTGTGATCGCTTCCGCAGTCGGTCTGCGTTGGTACGTAGACAACACTCTCCCCTCTCATTGCTATGCATCACCATGATCTTGCGTGTGCGTAGGAAAATTTTCGAAATTACTGCGTTCCCCAACACATGGAGTGGTATTGTGAATAGTAAGGATACTCTCCTCTCAGTTGGCCAACAGCTTGTCTTCCACATCTAATTCACGGGATCTCCGATCACAAAGAATAGGTTACCACTGTGAACAACTCATATTGTGGGTCTCATACCCATCTCCCTCGATGCATTATCTATCACATTACGTGATAGACCCTTGGTAAAAGGATCTGCCAGATTTTCACACATTTGGATATAATCTAACATGATAACTCCGGAGTTTTTCATTTTCCTGACAGATTTTAACCTTCTCTGAACGTGTCTTGATGACTTCATGTTATCCTTTGAACTGCTCACTTTCGTGATCACAGTTTGATTGTTGCAGTTCATAAGGACACCTGGTACAGGTTCCTCAACAACCGGCAAGTCATTCAAGAGCCGGCGAAGCCAATCTGCTTCAACCGTAGCTGTATCTAGTGCTGTGAGTTCTGCTTCCATTGTTGACCTCGTTAAGATGGTCTGCTTGCAAGAGTTCCAAGAAACAGCGCCACCTCCATGAGTGAATACATAACCGCTCGTGGCCTTTATCTCATCAGCATCTGAGATCCAGTTTGAGTCACTATACCCTTCAAGCACCTTTGGATGCCCGGTGTAGTGAATTCCATAATTTGCAGTGCCTTTCAAATAACGCAACACTCTTTCTAGAGCTTTCCAATGCACATCTCCTGGTTTTGAAACAAACCGACTTAGTTTGCTAACAGCAAAAGAGATGTCAGGTCTTGTAGCACTGGCTAAGTACATAAGCGAGCCAATAATCTGAGAATACTTCAATTGGTCTCTAGCAATTCTTCGATTCTTTCGAAGCAACACACTAGCATCATATGGTGTTGGAGAGGGCTTGCAGTCACTATAGCCAAAGCGACTCAAGATCTTTTCCACATAGTGAGATTGAATCAAAGTAATCCCACCATCACCGTCTCTCAACAACTTGATGTTCAGAATGACATCAGCCACTCCTAAATCCTTCATCTCAAAACAACGAGATAGGAAATCCTTGACCTGCTTAATAACTTTCAGATTTGTTCCGAAAATCAGTATGTCATCCACATACAAGCACAGGATAACTTCCTCGCCCCCACCATGGCGATAGTACACACATTTGTCGGCTTCGTTCACAACAAAGCCTGCAGCTGTTAAAGTTCTTTCAAACTTCTCATGCCACTGTTTGGGTGCTTGCTTAAGTCTGTACAAAGACTTCAGCAACTTGCACACTTTCTCTTCTTGACCATCTAGTACAAACCCATCTGGTTGTTCCATATAAATTTCCTCGTCCAACTCTCCATTTAGGAAAGCAGTCTTAACATCCATTTGATGAACGAGAAGACCATGCGAGGCAGCTAGTGAAAGTAGAACTCGAATAGTGGTCAGTCGAGCCACAGGTGAGTAAGTATCAAAGAAGTCTTCACCTTCCTTC